AAAAAAGAGGAAGGGGGCCTAAGAGTGAGGGACTTAAGGAAATTTAACATGGCGTTGATGGGAAAATGGTGGGGACGGCTTGCAGAAAATAGGGACAGCTTGTGGAAGAAAATTATTGTTGAGAAATATGGAAAGGGAGGGGGACACTGGCAAGATTGGATTACTAGAAATAATGGTGCAAGATCAATATGGTGGAAGGATGTCTACGGTTTGAACACTATGGATAGGGAGAGTGTAGGCTAGTTGAGGGAGGGTTTTAGAATTAACATAGGTGAGGGAAATAGCACTAGTTTCTGGTGGGATGACTGGTGGGGAAATGGGTGTCTTGCTAACAAGTTTCCAAGACTGTATCTTCTTTCAACAGGAAAGACGCACATGTGTAACCAAATTGGAAGCGAAAGAGATGGATCATGGGAATGGAATCTAGCATGGAGGAGAAATTTGTTCAAGTGGGAAGCGGAAGAGATGATGGAACTGCAAAACATGATAAAAGATGTGAAGATCTCACAAGGGCACCCTGATAATTGGGAGTGGATTCATGACAAGAATGGTTAGCACTCAACAAAAATGACCTACGCATTGTTAACAAAAGAGGAGAAAGGATCAACCGGAACTACAACCTTTACAAGAATATGGAACTCCACCCTTCTAAGCAAAATTTCAACTTTTAATTGGCAATTACTATTGGATAGAATACCAACTAAAAAGAACATGTTGAGAAGAGGGATCATCAAAGACATGAGAGAAAGTAAGTGTGAAATATGTGCTGAAGAAGAAGAGGACATGACACACTTGTTCTTAAGTTGTAGGATTGCTTGATGGCTATGGAAGGCTTGTGCAAAGTGGTGGGGGACTAAGGTCTCGTTGGAAGTGGACTACTGGAATACCTTTCAGAAATTCGAAGTAGAGTCTAAAGAGCCAAGCATCAAAGAAGGGTGGGATTGCATATGGAATTTATTTGTTTGGACCATGTGGTTGGGTCGAAACCAAAAGCTTTTCCAAGGCAAAGAGATCAATCCAGGGAAGCTTTTTGAACTCATCCAATTGAGGTCCTTTCTTTGGATTAAATCTAAAAAAAACAGAATGAAAAGCAACCTCTTCTCAATATCAAATTGGTTCCAGGACCCGGTATCTTGCTTAAGAGGTGCTGCAGGAAGAAGAAGGCAAAACAAGGTGACAATACCAGGCTAAATAACTGAATTCATAGAAGGGACCATTGGTGTCGACACCAAACAGAAGGGCTAAGCATTCGGATTCTCGACACGAACGTGGTGTTGATACATAATTTTGGTGTCGACACCAAACGGAAGGGCTGAGCATCCAGAATCCCGACGCAGACTTGGTGTCGATACATAATTTTAGTGTCGACACCAAACGGAAGGGATATTCGACTATGTAAATCTATGCCTTTCAAGTTAGAATGTTTATGGATTTGGCGTACCCCTTATACTCCGTCTTTTTTCAATAAATATTACTTTTGCTGTTAAAAAAAAATACAAGAACAAGTCTAATCATAACAATCCCATAGATATAATATTTAACATATATCACGTGACATAATTCAAAGAGCAGTTGCTATGGCCTAAACATCACACAAAAAAAAAAAAAAAAAAAGGGGAAGATTACATGAACAAGTACTCCAGTCATAACAATCCAACAGATATAGTAAAAAGAAATGGACAATGCCCCAAATAATTATTTCACTTAATTAATGGGATATAGATTTTCAGGTAAACGCGGTTTTGCCATGGCAACCAG